CCCACCACCAAAGTGGAGGGGGAGCAAGAAAAACAGCGTCCCGTCATTCAAGCATCCACCTGCAGCTTTGCAAATAACCACTAACGTATTCATGCGCACAGTTTACCCCAGCTTTTCCGTTTTCCCTCCACGTGGACAAACAAGGGATCCTCCGCCGAGGCACGCGCAAATATGGATTTTCCCATGTTTATGTTTGCGGAAGAAGTAGCCTACATGTGTCGTTACGGGGCTCAGTTAGGACCACCGTGTATAGTAAGATGTCTTTATCTGCAAGTGCTGCACAGGTCAATCATGTTAGCAAAGTCAGTATCAGAGATATCCATGCATGTTACATCTAATTAGATTAAATATATTCAAATATATCAGAATATGAATTATATAGATACTAATTAAAGCTAGCTGTTGGTTTTTTTGCATTTTCACATGGCTTTCCATACCTTTAAATGAGACCTCTGGATTTTAGAGAGATGATAATAAGTAGGATACAAAATAAATTAAAGGAAAAATATATTTTAAAAATGTAAATAAAAAAGTGTGCAACTTGCATATAGCGTAACACTATACGCTATATGCACATTTCCTATCCCCTGCTACTGCTACTGATCTTCTCCTCTCCACCCCTTCCTCTTCTTTGGAAAACCTCTGTCCCTTCACGTCTAGGCCTGCACGGCCAACTCCACCTGCCCCATGGCTGTCGGACTCAGTGCGTACTGATAGACGGACCCTAAGAGAGGCTAAGTGTAAATGGAGAAAAGGCAAACTCCCGGAGGACCTTCTTAACTTCGAATCTCTTCTTTCCACTTTTTCCTCCTCTCCATCTATTTGCTAAAGCTGCTTTCTTCCACTCGAAAATCCTAACCTCTGCTTCCAATCCTACAAAACTCTTTGAAACTTTATCTTCACTCCTCCAACCCCCACCCCCTCCTCCTACTTCCTCCCTTATCCCTGACGATTTCGCCAACTTCTTTGACAAGAATGTAAACGATATCAGATCCTCCTTCTCTCAGCCCCCCTCTCCCTGTCTGCCCTGTCCAGCTCTTCCCCCATAGCTCTCCCTCCCCTCCCCACGCCCCATCTTACCCTATCTTGCACCCCTTTCCCCTAACAAAGTCCTCAACCTTGTTACATCTAACCGCCCCACCACGTGCTCCCTTGAACCGATTCCCTTCCCTCTTCTTCAGTCTATTGCGATTGAACTCCTTCCTTTCCTTACCCATCTCATCGACACATCTCTTGTTTCAGAATGCTTTCCCACAGCTTTCAAGACTGCCAGAGTCACCCCCCTTCTGAAGAAACCATCACTTGATCCGTCTGATGTCAAGAACTTCAGACCGATTTCTCTTCTACACTTTCTATCCAAAGCACTTGAACGTGCTGTCTTTAATCAACTGTCTTCCTATCTCCACCAGAACAGCCTCTTGGACCCCCACCAGTCCGGGTTCAAAGTGGGTCACTCGACAGAGACAGCCCTCCTTGCGGTGACAGATTCACTTCACGCTGCGAGAGCTAACTCTATATCCTCTGTCCTGATTCTCCTGGACCTGTCTGTTTGACATGGTGAACCACCAGATCCTCCTCTCCACCCTCGAGGGGATGGGCGTCTCAGGCTCTGCACTCTCCCTGTTTGCATCCTACCTGACAGGTCGATCCTACCAGGTGACATGGAGGGGGGCCGTGTCGGAACCACTTATGCTGACTACGGGGGTTCCACAAGGTTCAGTCCTGGGCTCCCTTCTCTTCTCGCTCTACACAACATCTCTGGGATCTGTTATTCGCTCGCATGACTTCTCTTACCATTGTTATGCCGATGACACCCAGCTGGTCTTGTCATTTCCCCCCCCGGTGAGACCCAAGTGGTGGCACGCATCGCTGCGTGCTTGGCTGACATCTCGAAGTGGATGACGACACACCACCTTAAGCTCAACCTGGACAAAACCGAGCTACTGTTCCTCCCGGGGAAGGGTTGGTCGCACCAAGACCTGTCCATTGACATTGACGATACCGCGGTGACACCAACTCGGACTGCGAGGAACCTGGGTGTGACCCTAGACAACCAACTGTCGTTCTCAGCAAACATTGAATCGGTTACACGCTCCAGCAGATTCCTGCTCTACAACATCAGGAGGATTCGCCCCTTCCTCACTGACGAGACAGCACAGGTGCTCATCCAGGCTCTTGTAATCTCCCGCCTGGACTACTGCAACTCACTACTTGCCGGAGCCCCGGCGTCGGCCATCAGACCCCTTCTTCGTTCTCTACACTGGCTACCTGTAACAGCTCGCATCCAGTTTAAGACTCTGGTGCTAGCCTACAGGGCAGTGAAAGGAACAGCTCCTTCCTATCTCCAGGCCACGGTCAAGCCCTACACCCCCGCCCGACCACTTCGCTCCGCTGCCTCGGGGCGATTGGTTCCCCCGTCACTCAGAGGTCCCTTTGGCCGATTGACCCGGTCACGGCTTTTTTCTGTCCTGGGCCCACAGTGGTGGAATGAACTCCCCACTGACGTCAGGACAGCAGAGTTGCTGCCCATCTTTCGGCGCAGGCTGAAAACTCACCTCTTCAAAAAGTACTACCCTGAGCCTTCCACTCAGCAATTATTGTATTCATACTAGTTTGCTGCACTTATTGTATTCGTATTTGTTTGTTTCTGCACTGTATTTTTGCTCTGGTTTATGCTCTTAGATGCTTGTTTAAAAAAGGAGATGCACTTATGACTTCTGGTGATTAGTAGTTCTCTTGAATACCTATGTTGAATACACTTATTGTAAGTCGCTTTGGATAAAAGTGTCTGCTAAATGACTGTAATGTAATCAGAGGGTCGGTGGTTCAATCCCTGGCCCCTCAGTCTACATGTAGAAGTGTCACACACAAACTGACACAAGAATACAATTATAATCACAGCTGTAAACACACTGAAGTCTTCTACATCTTAAGGTAGACACAGCTGTTTATTTATGAATTAATGGTGTTATTAAAGGAAACAAAAAGAAAAACTAGAACTAGTAGAAGAAACATCATAAGAAAAATAATAATCAGATAAACTGTCTGTTGTTTGCTTTCTTTTTTTTGTGTTTTTTTGGAGTTAATTACACATTTTTAACTGAGACAGAATGGAAACTGTTAGTCATTCATCATGTTTGTGGTAATACATCTGAAAACATGAGTGCTGCTACAATAACAGAGGCTGGATAAAATAATATGATTTTCATACAGTCTGTTTAGCTGACTCAGCTGAATTATTTACAGAACATAACTAGAAGTGATCTGCCAGCTGGGTGAAGAAACAATCAATAACTCCCTACAACAGCTAGAAGTGAGAGGACAGACTCAGCTAACGACACAAGCAACATCTAAAGAGAAGAATGTGTGGAGTTGTTGAACATTACAAATGATTAAAGGCTTCTTATTGTCAGTTTACACCAGCAGGAGTCTCACCTGTGACAGCTCCAGGATCAGCACTCTGGACAGCTGCTGTGATCGATAATAGGGATAGTCTGAAACAAACAAACTGAAATATTAATAAAAATAATAAATATTCTATGTTAATATATTATAATCTTTAGATATGTTTATTCATTTCTCCTCCAGATGCTCCAAAGCTTCCCTCTGTGTCAGTGAGTCCCTCTGCTGAGATAGTGGAGGGCAGTTCAGTGACTCTGACCTGTAGCAGTGATGCTAACCCAGCAGCTAACTACACCGGGTACAAGGAGGATGAAGACTCACCAAAAGCATCAGGACAGATCTTCATCATCACTGACTTCAGAGCTGAACATAGTGGGAATTATTACTGTGAAGCCCAGAACATGAGAGGACGTAGTAGCTCCTCCTCATACCTGACTGTTGTTGCAGGTAAATCATACTATGAAGGGTATTCACTTAGACATTATCTTAACAACCCAGTTAAGCAAACGCCTCCTACAATAGTCGCAGCAATTGCAACAATGCACATAAAAATGGCCGCCGGGCTGACCATCCAGCTACGTTGTTTTGAATGTGAATGTACGTTCTATACGTGTTTTATTTCGATGATGTGACGTTCAACCCAACTGCTTCACACTCGCCCTGGAAGTCACAAATGGATAAAGAAGTTTATCATCTGGATAGAGCAAATCCTGAGGTCCTACAGATTCTGTTACACTTCGTTAAACGTCTTGTTTTTGTCCTGTTGGTAACTCCTTAATTCATCTTCCATAT